CTGTCTCTTCTGCTGCAGCAGCAGAGACAGCTGCTGCTGCAGCAAAACAATTAACGCGCACGCAGAGAGAGAAAGATATAAAGGTATATATATGTATTAAGAGAGAGAGCGAAGGAGAGAGACATAGACAGATGTATATATATACATATATATATATATATATATGTACAGCTAGGTAGATAAAGAAATACTGAGTAAGAGAGAGCGAGAAGACAAAGAAAGAGAGACAGAGACAAAGAGACAGAAGCAGAGACAAAAAAGAAAGAGACTGCGACTTTAAAAGGAGACAAAAAAATTACGCGTTGAAGCTGGCTGCCACCTCGGCATTTGCTGCAGCAGCAGCAGCAACGGGCAGCTGCTAATGCTGCTGCTGCCGCTGCTGCGCGTTCGCGTTGGTGCAGCACCAGCCCTGTGTTTGTGTTGCTGCAGCAGCAGCAGCGTATTCGTGCTGCAGCAGCAGCAGCACCTTGGCCCCGTTGCTGCTGCTGCAGCTGTACCTGCAGCAGCTGCTCCTGCAGCAGCTGTCTCTTAGGGCCCGGCTGGGGTATGAGCAATAAAAAAAAACAAAAAGCGTTTGTGTCTTTGCATGCATCTGCTGCTGAAGCAGCAGCAGCAGCAACTTGCAGCAGCAATTATCAGTCTCCAAAGAGACTGTCTCCTTTCGTAGAGGTAAGGAGACAAAAAGATAAAATCTACTTTCGCTAAAAAGACAACTCTGGGCTTTGTGGTGCATGCATTTGCTGAGGGAAAGTTTGGGGCTGGCTAGAGATGATAAGAAGCAAGCAAAGGAGACACTTGAAGGCAGTAGTGCTCCCGTGCTGCTGCTGCTGCTGCTTGTGCTGCTTGTGCTGCTTGTGCTGCTTGTGTTGCTGTTGCTACTTGTGTTGCTGCTGCTTGTGCTGCTTTTGCTGCTGGTGCTTTTGCTGCTGCTGCTGCTGTTTCTGCTGCTGCTGCTGCTACGAGGAGCCTTTATCTTGTGTTTCTGCTTGTCTATTATCTGTAGCCTCTTCCCAATGGCCTTGATCAATAATAAAGAAGTGCAGTAGAGTAATAAAAGAACAAAGAGAAGACAGAAGAAGAGACAGAGAAGGAGGGGCAGCAGCGAGAGAGAGATGAGATCGAGGCCCTACTGTCTCCTTTATGTGTCTCCTTTTGCTGCAGCTATATCTAGAAATGAAAGAGAAGCAGCAGAAAGGAAGGGCTTCTTTACAATATTTTGAGGGCAGCAAAGAAGAATTAAAGTTGTTTATATCTCTATAGTAATTTAAAGAGAAGTAACAGAGTAAGGAGACAGCAGAGGAGACAGCTGAGGTCGAAGGAGACAGTGTCTCCTTTTGATTTAGTATAAATAAAAGAAAAAGAAAAAAAACAAGAGAAGGCAAAACAAACAAACAAACAAACAAACAAACAAACAAATAAAAGTCTCTAACAGTAAGGATAGAGATAAAGAGATACAGTTCGATATTGGGAAGGAGACAGAGACACAAGGAGACAGCTAGCTGCCTTCGTCAGCAAGCTAAAACATATTAATATAGCCTAACAGATTCTTGTTTTTGTATACTTGTCTATCTTTCTTCTTTCTTGTTCTAAGCCCTTAGGTGATAGAGATCTCCTTTTTAACTAAAGAGTTAATGTGCAGCGGGCAGAGAAGGAGACCCCCGGGAGGTGTCCACCCGACCCTGGGATCGCCTCGGGCAGGCGATCCCAGTCGTCTCCCCGATCCCAGCAGCCCCACGGCCAAAGACCTTGTGGGGCTTAGTTTGAAGGTTTCAGAGTAATATAGTTGTTCTTTTACGTGTATATCTCTTTGGGGTATAAAATGCCTCACTTGCATTTAAAAGAAAGATAGACAATATTTTTTATTGTTTTTATAGAAGGAAGAAGAAGAAGAAAGAGATATAAAACCCCCCAACGCCCTGAAATAATGCTGGGATCCGATCCCCATTCACAAGTCTTCTGTCTTTTGAGGTGTCTCTGCAGGTCCTCCCTTTACCCTTTTAAATGAATTACATTAAAACAAAAGAAGAAATAAACAAAACAAACCTAAGAAAGATGTACAAGAGAAGCTGCCTATACACCCGACGAGGGGATAAGCCGTGCAAACAGCAACATGGTTGAGCAAAGTGTATCTTTTTGATTTCTTTTTTTCTTTATATAAAAAAGAAAGAAAAAGATTTATTTAAAAAGATTTTAATAAATTATATTTATACAAACTTTACAGAAAAACATTCGGGGGCCCCCAAGCCAAAGAGAGGGTCGGGAGGGGTTGCTCAGTGGTGTTAGGGGGGTACGATATGATATATTTTTCTTGTTTTTAAAGTAAATATATATATTATTTATTTTTTGCATGCATATTGCAATAAATATACAGAAAAAGAGCTACAGAAAGAGTATAAATATACATCGAAAAACCTTTATAAACAGCTGCAGCAGAGGTGGGGTTGGTGTTACGGGGATAGAGACGTACAGACACCAGCTCTTATAATGCATATCTTTGTTT